GAGAGAGAGAGAGAGAGAGAGAGAGAGAGAGAGAGAGAGAGAGAGAGAGAGAGAGAGAGAGAGAGAGAGAGAAAGATCAAATCAATCAATCAATCAGACCAGTCAAGATCCGTGGCTCTTGATCGGTCTGATTGATTGATCGATTGCTTAATTGATTGATTGATTGATTGTGTGTGTGTGTGTGTGTGTGTGTGGGTGTGGGTGTGGGTGTGTGGGTGGGTGGGTGTGTGCGTGTGTGTGTGTGTGTGTGTGTGTGTGTGTGTGTGTGTGTACTATGATACGAAGCCCCCACGTGAACAGACATGGCGTGCTGTGCAGAAAAAGCACAACAAGTAACATACCAGAAAAAAATCGTCCACTTCATATGGCATGACCAAAACAAGCAAACAAAGGGAAGCTGAATGCCCTACTGCTAAAGTCAAACACTCTATCACATGGAGAGGAGGCAGCAGGGAAGAACCAAGAGGAGGTAATGCACACTGAGAAGACGTACGAGGCACATAAAGAACACAGAACAACAAAACACAGGCTGGAGGGCACGGGGGAGGCGGGCGGGCACAAGAACACGATAGGACAAGGCGAAGACAGTGAGCTGAGAAACAAGTATCACCGCCGAAACAGGCAAACCGAAAACAAATACAAGTCCCAAGAAAGTCGAAGGACCGAAAAAAATAAACACTGATGATAACAAGATTGTTTCGTCGGAATTGCACCGACTCATCAGGAGGCTGAACCCTCGACAATCTGCGGAGTACCGGTTTTGGATGTTTTGGGTCATGAACCCTTTGACCCTTGTTGAAGGCAGATTGCCCACAAGCGGAACATAGCAGCGAGCGACACCCGTGTGAAGCACCAGGCAACACACCCGAAGCCGCTCAACCGCACAACGCCAAAGACAACTGCAAGGAATGCAGCGCGGCAGCCGTGCAGTGAAGTACAAGACAACACAAGTGAGGCAAGGGCGCTGCAGGGGACGACCAGGCGAGCAGACCAGCAGCTCGGCAGCCGTGGAGCGGAGCACAAGGCACCGGCAACAAGGCAACTCAACTACATGGCACACAAGCGGCAAACACGGAAGGTACGACTAGCGGATGAGCAACACGGCAGCGAAGCAGCGAAGCGCAAGGCAACACCAGCAACACGGCCACACCACACAGCGAACGTAACAATTTGCAGAGAGTCGCACGCGAAGCAAGCGGGACAGGCAGCAGGGCAGCGGCGGAGCGCAGACCAGGACGTCCATACATCCAACACGGAGCAAAGCAGCACATCACCTACTCACATCACGGGTGAACCCCGCAGACTGTTGGTTCCCACCACCCGCTGAGCCAGGGAGACACTCCGATAACCATCCGTCATCACCGACAGGCAACACAGACATCCCGAACCGAGCGCCCCCCTAAGAGTGCAGTTGGCACTCCAAATGAGGGACCACCGACTGTTTGGCACTACATAAGGATGCTCAGTTGGGCACACAAAAGAAAGAAAAAATCACAGGAAGAACAGACAACAGAAAAAAAGACTAAAAAAAATAAAATTGATTGTGTGTGTGTGTGTGTGTTTGTGTGTGTGTGTGTGTGTGTGTGTGTGTGTCTGTGTGTGCGTGTGTGCGCGCGAGTGGGTGTGTGTGTGTG